AGATGTGGTTGTGCTATAGTTTGCTACTGAACGATTGCTTGTTCTAGTAATGTGATCGTAATAATGAGCGGGGGCAAGTTGGACTCCATGTCATAGAACAAAACCAGACTTAATGCAGTGTTGTGATGGCAACGTAGTGAAGATTTTTTTTAAAGGTTAGTGAAGACTTTTGAGAGGCATCTGGGGCAAAGGAGCAGGAGTGACTTCCCTGCTGGCACAAAGAAAACATGAAACTGGTGATCAAACTGTTAAGCAGCAGGAGACGAAACCGTTTAGGACTAGAAAACCTTGATGTGTCCTTCCGTCCACAATGAGAATTATGGCGTGCTTAGCATTTCATTTCTACATCCTTACAATGCTAAAGAACTAGTTGAATTCCCCGCGTATTGCTGTAGGAATTTAAGGATATAATTTAGATGCCTATTTAAAGTTAAGTTTAAGGAACATATTTGGAGTTTAATGGAGAGAAGATGTGAATGAAATGTTCCTAATGATATATGAAATCAACAATTCAATTTGTGAATGATATTTGACCAAATTCATCCTAATGGGCATACGTAGAATCTGAGTTCGTAGTATAGGTATCTTTAGAAGAAAAAGGAAAAAATGATACTCTCGCAGTTCCATAATACCTAACCTTGTATTTAAATTTTGTTTGAAAAAGATGCAGTATAGCCCGGTATATAGATCCCAAATTAATCCAATGTACCATCAACCACTCCTACAATGTTTTAGCTAGCCTTTAGTGAATATTTTAATATCTATGAACTTGTTTATGGCAACATTGTGGTCACGACTAGCTTGGGCAGCCCAACCCCAAGCTCTCCTCCCATGGCTTTCACTCGGAAATGATAGATTATTGCAAAGGACTGAGGTACCAACACTGGTGGCGGTGCCATCCCTCTCAAGTCTCAATACCTTCGCCGTTGCCTTCCACTTGGGACCTCAACTTCATTACCAGTATTGTTGATAGTACAGGTAAGAATCCGATGTGTATAAATCCCACAACTCGACATTGGTATTTAAAAACAAACAGCTCTGACACTGGTATTTAAAAAGGATTTGTCTATAGCTCACCCGTGTGAGCCCTCACACGATTTTTTTCTGAACTATTCTTCTTCCACCTCCCGCTGCTCGCCGTCGCCGGAACACGTCCTCGCCCCCGCCGCCAACTACCGCCTCCAGCGAACCCTAGCGCCCACGGCGGCCTCTCTCTTCCCCTCCCCCCACTGCCGCCATCTTCTCCAACTCCGGCGAGCCTCCTCGCCCTGACCTGGCCCGACCGTCTCTACCACCGCCAGCTCCCCTAAACTGCCCGGCCACATCCCTACCGCTTGGCCTGCCCGCCTCCTCTGGCCGGCCCCTTCTATACCCGTCGGAGTTGGAGAAGCAAGAGGGGAGAGAGGCTCGCGGGAACCCTAGCCACCGCCGCCGAGATGGAGGAGAAGGAGGAGGAGCCACCTACCTCGCTGGCGCCACCGCCAGAGTTGGGAAAGAAGGAGGAGGCAGGGAGGCGTCGGGGCATGCTAGGGTCCGTCGTTCGGACGGTAAGCTTCTTCCATCCGGCAATTAACTTTTGCGCTCTCTGGCACTTTCCTGCCTAGCTGCCGAATTGATTATTATTTTCTGTTTCCCGCGCGCGCCCACCCCATCTGACGGCTAGCGGCCAGCGCATCACCGGACGACGGGGCGTACCCTGCTGCTTCTATACTGCGTGTGGTTTTTTTTTTTTGGACGCATGAATGTACTGCATCGCTGGTGCCACAGCTGCCTCGCTGCCACCGTGAATTGTACAGTACTACTACTGATGGCTCGTAGCACTGTGTATCGCCATGCATTTCGATCGGTCCAGACTTATTGTTTTCAAGAGAAAAACACTATTTCAACTAAAAAAATAAGCTGAAAAGTATGGATTATAAGATAAATGCACAGGGCCTAAGAGGCCATTGCTCCCTGCACGCTCCGGCCACACCACGCACTCTCACCTCACGTACTGCCTCGAGAAGCACACAGAGATGAGAAGGTAAACATATCACCACATTACCTGAACTAAAAAAGTCTTAGCTGCTAAATGGAACTTTCAAAATATATTCCCATTATACTGTCATATTTCTTGTGATAAATTTTTTAAACAAGATCCCACATGGATATATTTAGATAAAGTTTTGTTAATGAACATGTATTCCATAACGACATAACATTTTTTTATTGAGTAGAGATGATGTTCTGGATTCAGGAAACAATGTTCCGTCTTGATAAGAAAAATATTCTCAGTTTAGAGGAATAGTATTCTAGATCTAGAGAACAAATTATATGTTAATGCAATTGGTATTATAACTTTCATAAAAATCAAAATAAAACCTATAAAAGATATAGAAAATAGATAAATAAATAAATAGCATAACATACATTGAAAAATAACAAAAAGCATAGAACAAATAACAAGGGAAAGAACAAATCCACATAATCGAGGAAAATTTAAAAGATTATCGCATGGATATTCTTTAAACAATCTAAAATATACCGTAGAACATCTCATGGGAACACAAAGATAATCTTGGAACATGCATCATATGAATATCCTAAAATACGTGGACCATCATGTGTATACGACATAAACATTACAAAATCTATAGAACATCACATGTATACTACGTGAACATCACATGCATGCTACGTGAGCATCGCAAAATAAATTATAAAACATCACATGTATACTACATGAATATCAAAAACATCATAGAATATCACAGTATACTACATCAACATCGCAAAAAGAATTATAGAACATCACATGTATACTATGTGAACATTACAAAAAACATCATAGAACATCACTTGTGTACTACGTGAACATCGCTAAACAAATTATAAAACATCACATGTATACTACGTGAACATCACAAAAAGCATCATAGAACATCACATGTATACTACATGAATATCATATGTATAATAAGTGAACATAACGCGTATACATTAAGGTCTGGTCCGGTCGTTCGGACCATAATCTCGCGCCGACAGTTTTTTCCCTCCATGCTGTATTTTCCCTCCGTGCTGATCAGTGATATTGGACTGGACTATAATAATGGGCCCATATATAGTACACGTATGTAACCCATTTAATTGTATTGTTGCTTTATTGGGATCCCCTCCCCTACATACATGCATACTCCTGAAAAGAAAGCGATTCGCAAAGCAAGCTCGTTTGTAAAACAGAGAAATGCTTACGTAAGCATTTACAAAAGTTTTGAACGAACATCACATGTGTCTAATAAAATAAAGGAAAAAAGTAGAACACGAAAAAATGGAAACAAATAATTAATAACAGTAAAATAATGACGAGGAAAAAATGAAATGAAAGGGATAAAAGAAATAAAAAAGAACAAAAAAGTTCAAAGAAAAGAAGAAGGAAAAAAAGCAAAATATACTGAGTGAACATTTCATGAGCACTATTCGAATGTCAAAGGTAATTACATAACATCCTATTTATGCTACGTGAAGATCACAAAATACATCATAAAACAGTGGAATGTATACTACGTGAACATCATTAATAAAAAATAAAAATAAAATATAAAATATAAAATGAATAATTAAAATAATTAATTAGAATGAAACATAGAAGAAGTAAAAGGGAACTAAAAAAGAATAACAAATGCTATTAAGTATGTAGAAATAATAAATTAACACAAACAAATTAATAAAATATTGAACAAAACATAGGGGAAACAAAAAATAATAAAAAGATAATAACATCATGTAAGAAGAGAAAAAAGAGAACATTGCTGGATACTATTTGAACAATATAAAATATATGACACTACATCTCACATGTACTATGTGAAACTTAAAGATAATCTTTGAACATCCTATTTATACTATATGAACATCTCAAAATACATCTTAGAACATCATATATATATTACGTGAATATCACAACAAGACATGATCGAAAAATAGAAATAATAAAAAGAAAAGAAACATGTAATAGAGAAAAAAAAACATCACATGGGTAGTACTTGAACAACCAAAAAACCTATAGAACATCTCATTAGTACTATAAACAACACATTTATATTACGTAAACATCCAAAGATACATTAGAAAATTACATGTATATGCACGGACATCACACGTCTCATAAAATAAAGACAAAGTAGAACATGAAAAAAAGTTAGTAACAGTAAGGTAATGAAGTAGAAAAAGGAAAATGAAAAAGATATAGAAAATGAAAATAACAAAAATACCAAAGAAAAGAGAAGGAAAAAAGAAACAAATGAAGGGAAAGAAAAACAAAAAAGATGCAACATGTGTTTCTTCTATAGCTCACAACCCATTAACAAAAAAAAAATGAAACAAAGAAAAAACAAAATTAGAAAAGAATTAATTAGTCATAAAAACGAAAAAAAAGAAATAAAAAATAAAAAAGATATAAAAGATACAAAAGAAAGATAAAGGATTTAAAAAGTGAAAAGAATAATAAAAATCACATAAAACAAAAAGGGAAATAAAAATAGAAAAATAAATGAAGCACAAACAGAAAAATAAAAATAAAATAGAAAAGAAATGAGAAGAATGAGAAAAAAAAAGAGAAACTAACGTACCTGGTGCTCCATGGGCCGTCGCTTGGTTCGATGAGCCGTTTCTGTATTGGCTGGTCAACGCAACGCTGCAGGAATTATGTCGCATACTCGCATCGTTCGACGGAGGGCGGGAAGCATCGTCGGGCGGAGCGGCTCCGAATGTTCGGACCCGAAGAATTCCCGGAGGCGTCGGGTAGAAAAAATCTTGAGCGAGGGAAGTTGCTGAATCACACAGGTGAGACCTTCAAAAACAAACAGAGTCCGATTCACCGTCTGGAATACTGGAATTCGCGGTCCATCTAACGATCTAACTGCAGCAGCGGCCTATAAATCAACACGAGAGTGCCGGTGGCCACCCTCCCACGTCCGGACGTCCCACGTGCCCAACTCCAAGAACCCCAGCAATAATCCACCATGTCATCGGCGGCGAACGCCCTGGGGCTCCCGCCGGGGGTCCGGTTCGACCCCACGCCCGAGGAGCTCGTCGAGTTCTACCTCATGCCGCGCGCCTTGGGACAGCCCACCGCGGTCCCGGGGATCGTCATCGAGGACGCCGAGGCCACCACCAGCTCGCGCCACCCCTGGAAGCTGCTCACGCGCAACCGGCGCACCGACGACGACGAGGCCTACTTCTTCGAGCGCATCGCGACGAGCGGCGACGACGCCAAGGGCGGCGCTGCTGCTCGCCAGGACCGCAGCTGCGGCGGCGGCCGCTGGACGTGGGTGGGGCAGAAGCGCTTCCCGGACGAGGTGCTGCCCCTGCGCGGCGAGGGCGAGCAGGTGTCGTGGGGCAAGTACTCGCTCAACCTGCAGGAGGGCCGGCGCAAGGGCGGCAGCACGGGGTGGGTCATGCACGAGTACACCATCACCTCGCCGCAGTGCCCGTGCCCCGTCAAGCTCTGCCATGTCGCCTTCACCGGCCACGGCCAGAAGCGCCAGCGCGTGCCCGACGACGACGATGGCGTGGGAGAGGACCAAGAGCTAGAAGCCGGGACGCCTCAGCACAAGCGCGTCGCCACCGCGACCGCGTCGACGCCTGCGTCTTCCGTGATAACGATGGCGACGCCGGATCACGGCCTCGGGGAGGCGCGCGCGCAGAATCAACAACAGACGACATCATCGGTTGGGAATTTCTGGGGCTCAGACGCTGGATTTAGCCAAGAATCATCTATACGATTTAGCCAAGAATCATCCATCACAATCCTGGATCCTTGGTACCCTGACGCTGGAACAAGCCATCAAGAACCCTTTCTGCTGGATAAGGGACTCGCTCAGAACCAAGAATATTTCTCAAACCAGCCTCAAGCTTATCATCATCAAGAACAATTCGTGAACCAAGGGGTGCCATCCGCCGAAGCTTTTTGCGCAATGCTATTGGCATCAGGCCTCGGATCATCAAACCCAGGCCAAGAACCTCCTTCAGGGCAGCCTCTTACTAAAGAAGAGCAATTGCGCCTGCAGCTGGATCAACTTTTTCGCGGTATCGGCACGCCGCACTGCCTTCCCATACAACCGGTCACGGTCAGTGACGACGCCGGGTACCATGAGGAGCACGAGCACATCCAGACAACGGCATCTGCAGCGACAGCCGATCTCCCGCTGCCGATGGATCGAGAATCCTGCACTACGGAGCAATCGCATGGAGACATGGACGACCTACCTGAGTTCTTCAAGGGATGGAGCGATCTCGACACCTTCACCGACACGTCAGGCGTGCAAGACTACGACGATGGCACGGCTGCCGGAACTCTTGCCGGCGATTGTCCTGGAGATGGAACCTGCTATGACGGGGGAAGCGGAAATTTTGCAGTTACGGCATAGGTGTCCCATAAGAATTTTGATTCTTTATTACATCGTTCTTGTTGTAGTAGTGAGCATACTCTGTTAGTTGGCGTGAGCACCCTTAGCATACCCTGTTTCCTGTATCTTGGAGCTCTGTTTTGACTTTTGAATGACACTAGTAACCCAGAGTTCACATCGCTGGATCGTTTCTTGATCCATCAAGCATCGTCATATCGTGTTCCACTATCCTCCCCGCAATTGTTTTTTTTTTTTTGTTTCTTTGGAGTTCAGATTTATATATTGTAGCTAAGTTACGTATGGTTGTGATGTTGTTTCATGAGACCCAATTGATCCATTGGAGTATCAAGTACGAGATGTGGTTGTGCTATACTCGTTTGCTACTGAACGATTGTTTGTTCTAGTAATGTGATCATAATAATAAGCGGGGGCAAGATGGACTCCATGTCAGAGAACAAAACCAGACTTATGCAGTGTGCTGTGCTGGCAACGTAGTGAAGACGTTTTTTTTTGAAAGGCTAGTGAAGACTTTTGAGAGGCATCTGAGGCAAGGGAGCAGGAGTGACTTCCCTGCTGGTACAAAGAAAACAGGAAATTGGTGATCGTACTGTTGCAGAAGGAGAAGAAGACCGTTGAGGACTGGAAAACAGTGATGTGTTCTTCCGTCCACAATATGAAAATCATGTTGTGCTTAACATTTCATTTCTACATACTTGCAGCGCTAAAGAATTATTTCTCAACTAGCAAACTCCTCGATGTAGTCAAGATGAAATTTCATCCGTCCTAAAATAAATCATTTTTAAATAAGAAAATTATTCTTTAATTTCACAAACTTTATAGGAAAGTTAGCACCATCTATGACACGAAAGAAGTATATGATGAAAATACATTTCAAGACATATTTAGTGACCCTAATTTCATGTCATAAATGTCGGACAGGCTAGCGCACGAACGTCCAGACGCTGCTCCCCGCGCCAGCTCCGAGCCGCACGCCCTCCTCGCTCGGGTTCCGCACTACTCAAACGACTCGCGCCCCATCCACGCCCCCCCCCCCGTGAGGGCCCATGCCGCCCGCTGTTCCCCGCGCCCCACGCTTGCTTTGTGCCGCACGCCCCGCTCGCTCGGGTTTCGGGCCACTCAAACAACTCGCGCCCCACCCACGCCACCCGCCCCCACACGGGCCCACGCCACTTGAACATCACCAGCGTTTAGAAAGAGGTGGAGACACCGAGGCGAGGAGAGAGATGCAACACCCGATCTACTTTTAAAACATCCAGATACAACACTTGCAACATACGTATGAAGACAGATGAAACATTTGAAACATGTGTCTGAAACACTTGCAAAAAAACACATGAAACACTTGAAAAACCATTGCAACACATACGCAACACATATGCAATGTCCAGATAAAATATTTGCAACATATGTGTGACACATATGCAACATCCAAATAAACACACTTGCAACATACGTCTAAAAAAATAGATGAAACATTGAGAACAAACGATTGCAACATAAGTGATCTACGTTTTGCACTATCCATACGAAACCCTTGCAACATACCTTTAAAATAACTGAAACACTTGAATCATACGCTTGCAAGATGCGCTTTCAGCGCAATGTCACCTTGCTGCTTGGACGAATGGAGCTCGATGCCACAGAGTGAAAGGAGCTCGCCAGTGCCTGTGATGGACCACCAGTGGAAGAAGGCTCTAACACGGATGCCGTCGAGGCTCGAGATGAGGTGGTCGTCGAGGCAGCCCATGAGGCGGTTGGTAGAGGCGGCGAGGTAGCTCCTTGCGGGCAGCATGATGCGGCAACTGGATCGAAGGTCGATGATAAAGTCCCCAGAGCCGATGTCGAGCGTGTAGGCACACGCGTTGACCGAGAGCAGGCCGCGCGGGAAGCCCCGGAGGTGGAGCTCGTCGTACGCGGTGGTGGTGGGCGGTGGCGAGGTGGAGTTAGGGTGGGCGAGCGGGGGCAAGAGTGACGCTGCAAGGAGGACGGCGAGGAGGTGGCGCGCCATCGCGGGTTCGTTGCGCGGGTCAGAGACGGGGGGCGGGCGGAGCCGTGGAGGCCCAGAGGGCGGAGGGGAACAGAGAGACGTGTGGGGACGGCGGAACAATCTGGAATGAGAGAGGGCCATTGAAATGTTGGACAGGAGTTATGGGACGGACCGCGGTGGTTGCCTGGGCCGCCTGTCCGCAGGCCTAGCAACAAGACGTCCAAACGGACGGACGTCCTAACGCCAACATTATCGCGTAAATATTGGTGCATTGCTCGTATAAGTACATTATTAACTTTAAGTTTAATCAAATTTAAAATAGTTTAACTTATGACAACTCTAAGTTCATTTAATTTAGGTATATATTTTGTTAGGATTCCAGTGCACTATTCTTCAAATTTGAAAAATTTGCATTATGAACTTTTGGATTCTGGACACATGGTTTTGTCCAGTGCAGACTGCAGAGTATTGACTTGACTGTCCCGGGGCCCCCATATGTCAGTCTGAGCCAGACCCGGTAACTGGCGGTGTGCACAGGAGGCGATCCAATCCCGACACGCTACACATTCCGATTCGAGCCCGCTCCGGGCTCCCCCTTTCACTCCGCCGCACCACCACCGCCCCCAACGCAAGTGCTCAGGCGATGGACGCCGCGGCGGCCGCGCTAGCTGCAGCACCTGCCGCTGGCGTGCCACCCCCTGGCGCAGCCGCAGGGGAGCAGCAGGCAGCTCCCCGGGTTGAGCGGCTCAGCGCGGGGGTGCAGCAGCAGCTGAACCTGGAGGGGATGCGCGCGCGCGCGGTGGGGCTGTACAAGGCCATCTCCCGCATCCTCGAGGACTTCGACGTCATCGCCCGCACCAATCCCAGCGCCTCCCCCAAGTGGTAACTTCACCCCCAGTCCTGCCCCCCTCTTACTGGTTGATGGCCGCAGTGGATTCTAGGGTTTAATTAGGATGCCTCTGCTCGTGTGGTGTTGCTGCGATATTGCTGACTGCCTTGGGGTGAATTGCAGGCAGGACGTGCTCGGGCAGTTCTCGATGGTGAGCATGGAGCTCTTCAACATTGTGGAGGACATTAAGAATGTGTCCAAGGTGTTTGTTGTGTACCCCCGGAATGTCAATGCCGAGAATGCTACAAGTATGTTTCTGAGTTTTCTTCTTATTTCCCCTTTATGGATGTGCATATCTTCTGTTTATCTTTGTGTCAAGTTAGTTATCACGTAATGGGATTTGTTTTTCAGAAATCATAATTAATATGTAGTTTGATCTAACATAGGAGAGTTTAACATCTGTTGGTTATGTTCCAGTTGCATGGTTTACTGATTCAGTTATGGAATAGAGCATCTCCAGTTCAGGGACACCAATTTCCAGAGACATCTTAAGAGTTCATTAGCCTTGTCTATAAAATTTTGGTTGGTTCAATTAAGACATGAACGACAACCTTTTTTGAAACATTATCAATGGAAGCATGAAATTTGGGAAGAAGTCATCTAATATATGAAGTTTTGCTCAGTTTATGCTGAAGTTTTGTTAGGTAAGCAACTGTATTGAGTTCAAAGGAATCCATCAAACATTTCCCCCCTTATTTGACCGAACAACAAATAGTCTTTGGTTGTTCATGGTCCAGTATTGCTCAACACCTGATGGATGAGATTGATTCATCTATGGTTCCATATATTTTTAGAAAAAATACCCTATGATTTTGTTTCTGAAGCAAAGATGAATGAGGACTAGAAGTATGACCAGTTGGGCTAATATATATATATATATATATATATATATTTTTTTTTTTTTTGCTGTGCCATTTCTTTGGGCTTTTCTCACAAGTTTTATAGTGTCAACCGATGTTTATTTCCACTGATCAAAATTCTGAATGAGGTGACTTTCGAAGTTTTCTACTAGTCATGGCCCTAATTGCACGGCAAGTTATTCTGAGATAAATAAACACAATGAAAATGACCCAACAAAAATGTATTGGAAATGGTCGCTCTAATTGTTCATGATGCATTGCAATTTAGTGTTCCCATTTTGCATACTGTCAATGGTTGTACAGTTATTTGTTATTAGTGTTGCAGCATAAACCTTATCTGCTCAGTATGAATATTGCAGTACTACCTGTAATGCTGTCATCAAAACTGCTGCCTGAGATGGAAGTTGAGGAAACTACAAAGAGAGAGCAACTATTGTCTGGCATAACTAATCTACCGGTGCCTACACAGATTGAAAAATTAAAGGTAACCAATTTAGTATTGAAGAATGGAAACCTATAGCAATGTGTTGCTTGCTGGATTTATCGGCTATCTATTAATTAGAATGGACTTGGTATTATTCCTTTCAGGTTAGAATAGACATGATTGGAAGTGCTTGCGAAACTGCTGAGAAAGTAATTGCTGAATGCCGTAAGAGCTATGGGCTGGGAACCCGTCAGGGAACAAATCTTGGTCCTACATTGGACAAAGCACAAGCTGCAAAGATACAGGAGCAGGAAGGCCTACTTAGAGCAGCAGTAAATTATGGTGAAGGTGAAAGGCGTATGCTTTGTCAATGTTGATAAAAAAATGCCATTAGCTTTCCAAAATAAATAGTCCTTTTACTTCTATTTTGTGTTACAATTTCAGTACTTATAGCTTTATTACTGAAATTATTTGATTGTCAGGATTACGGGTACCTGGAGATCAGAGGCAGCCACAATCTCTTCCTAGCCATCTGATAGAAGTGCTTCCTTTAGGAGATGGTGCACAAAATTTTGGTGATAGTTCTGGTACGTAGATTTTCTTGTGTATATAAACTGTCTCAATGAACCTCTCCTTGTTTGAGTTTTGACATCTATGGATTGTCTTATTTTCATGTGCTATAGACCGAACTCCTATTGTGTTAGGATTAGTGCTTATCCTCAATCACTAAAATCATGACCATTTGCATTGGAGATGTGATCTGTAAAAGTTCCTCATATGTTTAACTCTTTGCCATATTAATTGGAGATATGTTCCGTAAAAGTTCCTTGTATGCTTAACTCTTTGGCATTTGCATTGGAGTTGGAGATGTATTTCACAAAAGCGCATCTAATTACTATTTGTATTTGCAGGTAGTTATCCCAAAAATACGTCAACATTTGCACCTAATAATGTCAACAACCAGGGAAATCAGGTTCAGGTTTCTGTTCTATAATTATAACTGAGTTATTATTATGATATTAGAAGAGCTCCATCTTCTAAGCTGATTGACTGGCATGGTTCACTCTGTTTTTCATGACATCAATCATCTCCCCATGGTATTGTGTTAGAGGAGTCAAGGGCCTATTGGGCCCTAGCCCATTAGGGTTAATTAGTCGCTTGCTTAGGGGCCAAGTCAGACCTCTCTATATAATGAAAGGAGATGTATCAATCTAATCAAGCAAAATTAAGAAGCCTTCCCTCTTGCTACAAACTTCTCTCACCCTCGCAGCCCCTAGCCGTGAACAGTACCTGCGGAAGACTGTGGCGCCATCACCGCCCACAGGAACAGTACCCGCGGACACTGTAGCTCTACGGCACTGTAGCACGCCCTCTCATCTCCATCCCAACTAACCACATAACAATCTGGTATCAGAGATCTCGGTTCCGATGTCGACCTCGCTGCCCACCTCCACCACCACAACAGCAGCCACCAACGCCATGCAAGCGGCCGACCAGCAGGACGTCCCAAATTACTTCGCATGGAACCTCAGCTCTGAGACCTCATCAGCTGATGGATGCTAGCACAGGTAAAGATAGCGCGTTGTCGAACGCCGAGATCCGGTTTCCGGCTTTCGACCTATAATAAGATGGTGGCCGGATTCATGCGTTTTTTTGGGACCGCAAGGACGCGTAGCCAAACCATCCGCACGCAGCGGCTACGGAGGTTTGAGGTTCTAATCATGGACTTTGACATAGGAGAAGGAGTTGTGCAACCATTATAGGCTTAACCTCTCCTTCATTGATCCCGCTGTTCACATTTTGTCCACCTTTCGTGCAACCACTCATCAGGAACCCGTATGGCGTCTTCTACGGGGCGTGGATGACATCCAGCATCGCGCGCAATACATGGATCGCAAAAAGCGATGGCGTATTTTCTTAGCTAAGCAGGACGACAACACCCCATCTTCAAGCGGCGCTGGCGCGATCGTCCTTTGGCAAGCCATTCTCTTGCACTCACGGAGAGGAAGGCGATTGCGCGCAAGTGCTCGCGCAAGGTGTTCACGGCGGTGGTGCGCTGCAGCAGATCATGGCGATACATATCCATGTAGGCGGTGACAGAGAAGATGCGCCACCTATGCACGAAGTGATGAAGTTGGTTCGATCATCAACTTCCATCGTGGGAGCGTAATCCCAGCATGGTGGCACGATTGATGGACCTCGCTGGGCGGACACACGACCACCTTGAACGGCCCGTGACCATGTTGTCTTCAGCGCAAGCATGGTGTTTTTTCCGTGCGGACTCCAACTTGGGGAGGTCGGCAGCGATTCTGCAGGATGCTTTTGATGATGGCGCAGTAGAAGTCATGGTTGTCACCAAGGGGACGCGCCTAGCGCCATCGCATGAGATTCCGCCATCGTCTCACCGTCCGCCACCACGCCTCCACTGGGTTATCTGCTACCACTAATTCTAGGTGGCCATACCCGTGCACCCCTCTCGTTCCGATGGTCTCCATGGGATCTAGGTGGCTACACACATGCTGGTCCAGCAAGCGGAGGGTGCCCGCCGTATCTTCAGGAGTCAAAAATAAAGAGTCGTAGTCTTCTTCAGGTCAATAAACTAAGCCGAGATGTAAAAGACTTATTTTTAGGTGTTAGGTTTGTGTCTAGTGGAGGCATCGTTAGTGTCATCGTTAGATTGCAGCTCGAGGACGAGCTGCATGTCCAGGTGGGGTGTAGTGTTAGAGGAGTCAAGGGCCTATTGGGCCCTAGCCCATTAGGGTTAATTAGTCGCTTGCTTAGGGGCCAAGTCAGACCTCTCTATATAATGAGAGGAGATGTATCAATCTAATCAAGCAAGAATTAAGAAGGAAACCCTTCCCTCTTGCCCGGCCGTGGGCAAACGCCCCGCGGCCGGCTCTCTCTCACCCTCGCAGCCCTAGCCATAAACAGTACCCGCGGGTACTGTAGCGCCGCTTTTACTGTAGCGCGCCAGCCGCCGTCGCTCCCCTCGCCTCTCCCTCTCAATCCTCCAGCCACATAACATATTGATAGGATAGTTATATATCATAGGGAATGGCAATAACCAAACTCGATAAATGTTTGATATTTCTGTCTCAGTTTCAAATTCGTTGCCTTCATACTACTTGCAGGCATCCGGAGGACAGTTACATGGAAGACCTGCGCCATCACCTGGAACCACAGGAACCCCTAATTTCGAGAATGTGTCCACTCCTCCAATGCCATATGCTAACTCTCCTAGGTCAGGCACCAATATGATGAATACCCCTTCCCCTCAGCAGCATCTTACACCACAACAGCAGAGGCAGAAGCTGATGCAAGCGTCTCAACAGCAGCAACTGCATGCTCAGCAGCTGAGGCCATCAGCTGCTGGGATGCTAGCACAGGTAAAGATAGTTTTTTTTTTGAAAGATCCGGTTTCCCGGCTTTGATTTATAATAAGAAGGTAGCAAACAACTGTTACATGCGCGAGGGGCGCTACCATCCGCAGCCTAGGCTACGGAGGTTTGAGGTTCTACATGGGCTTATTACATACTAAGGAGTTGTGCAACCATTATAGGCTTAAGTTTGCCACCACCAGCTCCCAAACAGCATTTTGTCCACCTTTCACAAGAACTCATCAGGAACCCAGACATTCCTGACTCTAGTCTACAATACATGGATCACAAACGGAACAACACTGGTTTTGCCTCTAAGCTTCAGGGAACCTCCATCTCAACCTCCTCCGTCTCCTGTGCTATAGCCGCTAGTGCTTCGGCCAACTCCTTGTTGCTCAGGCGCGTGGCAGCCCTAATCGCCATGACGGCCTGCTCCGGCAGATCATCAGCATACATATCCACGTAGGCAGTGACAGCTGCATCAGGCGCCAGCGACGGGGGGTTGATGAAGTCGAGTTCGCGCATCAGCTTCCTCGTGGCCCGTTCAGCCATCGGCACCGTTGATGGGCGCGCCGCGAGGCGCAGGCCAAGCTCGAGCGGGTAGCGACCATGTTCTTCAGCTTCCTTCCCGTGCGTTTGCTGCAGACCTGTTTAGTTGGGGAGGTCGGCCGCGGGAGCAGTTGTTCTGGGATGCTTTTGAAGATGGCGCTGTAGAAGTCATGGATGTCGTCCACCTGGTGTACGTTAGGGTCGTCATAGAGGTCGTGACCCACCATGGGGTCTCCGTCCCTGCCGGAGTCGGTGAGTGTAGCAGATGCGTGCACCGTCGCCGTGCCGACTTCCATACGGGTGGCGCGGTGGGAGGTGTCGTCTACCTCTCTGTCATCCGACGACCTGTCTGCCAGAGCCGGGACAGGTTCGTCCACCGAGGAGCAAGGCGCCTCCTTGCTACCTTCCGACGAGAAGCAGGGGATGAGCTGCGCCATCTGTACAGGAGAGGGATACCTGGATCATGGGATCCTCCTCTCGAAGGATGCCTCCTGTTTGGACCAGCGTCATGCACAGGTCAGCTAGAGGATCTGAACTCACCAGAGAGAGTGTTGTTGGACGCGGCCGCCCGCGGGCCTCGAAGGTGAGCGGTTCCAGGAATGCCCGCGATCCATTGGCTCCATGTCAGCCACCCCTGCTTGGCGAAAGGCCGGAGGTGAGTGCGTGCGCGCCCGGACGACGCGATCAGGGGAGGGTTGCCTCAGATCTGCGTCCCAGGCCCTTCCCCGGCGGATTGGGGAGCGTGAACGACGACACTCCCAGTCCTCCGAGGCATGGGGGATGTAGTCCCTCCCCCATGTGCGCCTCATAGGCGAGCGACGTTGGTCGCGGCCGCGTTCAATGGCCTGGTCGCCATGGTCATCAGGCCGCAGGTCCATTGCAGGTTTGGCAGTGATGTCGGCGGAGCAGTCGCAATGCAGTAGATGTGCTTTAGTTTTATAGAGTTTCTGTAGTATGTGCTTTCCTTCTTGATCTTGTTCTGAATCCACATTTTTTCCTGTAGAGCGCACTTCCTCAGCTACAAGATTTACAGGGGCAGACTCAACAAAAACTACAGGCAATTACTGACTCCCTCTTTTCTGCTGAAGTAGTTCTTTCGTATGAAAACTTAAATTTCTGAAGAAAGCCTTTTGTAGGTCCCTGGTCAACAGCAAATGCAGTACAACCAAGCCTTGTCACAACAGTTTCATAACAGACAGATGCAATCTGGACGTATGCAACCAGGCATGGCTCAGAGTCAATTGAATCAAGGAACTCAGCTACGAAGTCATTTGGGCCAGTTTACTGGAGCTGCAAATAGTGCAATGTTCAGTGCTGCACAGGCATCATCAAACTCACAGATGGTCAGATATACCTTTTCTTAATAATTTAGTGAGGAAAATAAGTCGCTTCATTTTCCTAAATTGATAGTTGGAATTTATAGATATGCATTTATGAGCTCATGAGATGGACTAGTGAAAAAAAGATTCTTAGTTTGTTCAGTCGCTAGCCTGATCTATAGATTATTTCGTACATGGTCCCATGATTGGCTAATCTTGCCTGGTTTGGTTTTGCATTTTAGATGGCAAATATACCTGGATCACAGTCGCTTATGCCACAAATGCAGGTAAGTTACTTTTTCTTGTCTTTCTATATCCAGGTTTCGTCAGAAATAATTCTCTGCATCTATTCGAATAGAATAATTTCTGCATATGGTATAATTGATCACAATTACTGGGCAATGACAGTCTGTATTCCCCTTTGCCTGTGTAGATCTTCAGGAAAGATGACTTTGTTACTGCATTGCACATGAGAGTTTGATGTAGGGTGGTCTGATTAATATAGGCCCATTATTTTTGTAGTCGCACGATTCATATTATCAATGGCAAAGCTGGCTTGTCCCAAACAAGTTCAGCACATGCATCTCTAATTGATGGACTAGGGTAGTTTCATTTGGGCTGTTGGCTTCTCTTGCAATTTTATGGTAGTTTGATTAATAAGGTTACAGTTTTAGGTTATCTTCCTTTTTTTAAAAAGACGGTCTTCTCTTATACTAATGATATCTTGTCCACTATGGGCATGATTTCTTGATTACTGAAGGGGCAGTATATAATATAAAGGTTTCAGTATTTGTTGCTTTTTTTTTTGCTCTGTCCTGTTCCCGGACTGTTCATTCTTCACTCATAACTTCTTGTATTTAATATATTATTATTTTTGTGATTATTTCTCAGTATGGTATGGCTGGTGGGCATCCACAGAGGAGTCATCCCCAAATGCTGACTGACCAAAGTATGTATCCCTTTCTCTTTGTAAGATTTTCAAGTTATAACTGTCAAATGGATAAATATAAAAATGAAAATGTTAGGAGTCATGGATTTGAGACATCATATTCGACTATCAACTGTTTTGGTGGCATTACTGGCTTATTTGGTAGAAAACTGGCCCTCAATATCAGAAATATGTGTACGCATTGCGAGGCAAGTCCTCTGAGTCGCATAAATCTAGATACTGATCCGATCACAATTCAAATCAAAAGGACAAAATATATTGGAATTTACCGTAATCCAAAGGTAGGATGTCATTACAAAAACTCAAGAATTCAGTAACTAGGAAAAGTTAGAGCACTTTCCTCTTAAGGCCTTGTTTGGATGCGCATGTATTCATCTCAATCCACATGTGTTGAAGTGAATTGGAGTGGAATTAAATTAAGTTACATTCCAATTTACTCCAACACATGTGGATTGAAGTGGATACACACGCATCCAAACAAGGCCTAAGATTTTTATTGATTTTTACTGGGTCCACTAATGTTTCATTTCTTCTGGTGCTAGTTACTACAACTAGCTTCCTTGGTTCTGTAGTGTGGGGACTTGGAATCAGTGCCGGATGAAAAGTGCCCTTTGATTTTGAATCGTCATTGGTCTATTTTACTTTGTGCCAAAAATGATCGTCTCAAGTTTGTACTACTGAACTCTGTACTGTTTTCTGCTGCAGTGTTCGGTATGGGAGCCACAAATAGCAGCATGATGGGAATGCAGCAGCAGCAGCAAGGGGTATATGGGAACATGCAGGCAGGTGCACAGAACATGCAACAGGGTATGGTGGGCCTTCAGAATCAGACCCAGAATCCCAACTTCACTCAGCAGAGGCAACAAAATCAGCTATGATTCAACACTAACATCAATTTGCTAGGACACGGAGGCAAATATATTAATGGTTTGAAAGATGAGCAATATAGCCATGGTTTTTGCAGCTTGTCTGTTGGTTTTTACTCAGCTTATCTGTGAGACTGTGATAGTCGTCCCAGGTTGATAGCCATGGTTTTGCTGTAAATCAATGTAGATGCATCACCATTAGCGAGATGCAGGCCAATTCTATACATTGTAACTGTGTTTCGGATATGTCTTCTATTGTTTTGTTGGAATCGTGTTACACGCGTTCCTTTTATGAAACTAACCTCTTTATTAAGCCTCGCAGCAAGGCTGGCTATCGAACTGCATAAGGGTAAGAGGTGGACAGGCACAGGTGGGTTCACCAGCAGGTACGGCACGATCTTAGATTGCTGAGTTGCTCCAGTTACAAGAGCCTGCAGGGCAACGAAAGGTGATATGCAGTCATAATGCTCTTGTCAAACGGAGAAGGTAAACAGGGACATCGGTCATCAGGTGAGATGCTGATCAACATGGCAGGCATTGGTACAGTATAACAATGAACAAACGACATTACACTGGTTTTATTATTCAGTGAGAAGCAAGTATACAACGAACACACATGATATTTTTCCTCTGCTCAGCGATGCTAATCTCTTCTTCGACAGGTGTGTCCTCTTGGGGCTCCAGGCCTGATGATGATGCACCTGTGACGATATCATCTTCTCCTTGGCTAGGCCCGGGCCTCTGGAACTTGTCGGCGAAGGTCTCCATCCCCATCCGTGACAGGAGGAGCCAGACCAAGGTGAGGAACTCCAGGCTTTCACCCATGCTCTTGGCGTGTAAGTAGCCCCTGCACCTGCTGGCGCGGAGCAGCAGAGCATCTCCACCCACACGCCCTGGATCACCTTCCACCTCTCCTCTTCGTCGTCCAGCAGCCCCATCAGTTCCTCGGCAAGATCCCGTGCTTCCGGAACCAAAGTCCCAGGATATACCAAGGGAAACCGTGCTGTGGCAAGAATCTGCTCGGCCACGTGTACTTCATTTGGCAATGTAGGCTCACTGAGATAGCTGAGCATGAGCTCGGTTTCATCGCAGGCGGCCGTGAAAAGACCCTGCCTGGTCCCAGGCATAAGCATCTCTGGTTGAACGAAGAGCAGGTAGATCATGTAGTTGGATATTGCCCTGCTGTAGCGAGCGAGATCAGCTTGGTCTTGGGCGGATGTCCTGGGGTGGTAGGCACAGAGCTCAGTGGCTATGTGCCAGACGAGGACACTCCGGTCAAACGGCACCTTCAAACTCCACAACAGCTGCCGCCCGCTTAGCCTGTACCTGCTCACCGTCCACTGCCCCCTGAGATTGCAAAATCTCTGGTAACTAGGAGCACCAAATATATATAGTTTCCACCCTTGTTTCACATGCTCGACAACCAATTCTATGATACGAAGATATTCGTATTGAGGCCCCTGCTCCATGTACCAATGCTTGTTAATATAACTGCTGAGACCCATGAGAGCGGAAATTCTCATCAACAGGGTGGGTTTGCTTCGACGAGTGTAGAACGACATGAGATTATGCTCGGCTCCCGTCACCGGGGTGGCGCATAAAAAACTTCCTAGGATGCAAGGGCTGAGGAACAAGGGTAAGAACTCCAGGGAAGCTGTACAACACAACAGGACCAGCATCGTCTTTATGATGATGATGGCTAGTAGCAAAGAGCACAAGGGAAGCTAAGGCCAGGAACGGAAGCAATAAGTGCAAAATGACACCAGGAATACTGCTTGCCCTTTTATTGTTGGTGTAGATCATACCAAATGCAAGCCAGAGGTGGAACATCAAATTATGATATATGTTAAAAATATCGAATCTGATGTAGGAGTGAAGGTTTCTTAGCCGACGATAATATGGAGCCGACAGGTCCACAAACAGCCTCTGGATGTCTTTGGCAAATGCCATCTTTTCACTGCGTTCAGCTATCTCCGTGACCTGTACATGTTCTTCAAGCGAAAAATCATGCTCCTCCTCTTCTTTCATTGCTTCCGCATCGTCAAAAGAATCATACCTAGTTTGAGCGGAAAGGCAGAGTAACTCACAGATCTCCTGTAACATTCCTTGTCTTCTTTTTGAATAGATAGCTGAAGATGTCATCACGCTGTTGATGCTTGCAATCTTGAGACCCCATGGCTTACATGCGAACTTGACAATGCCGAGGACGAAGAGCAAGATCGCCGCCTGCATCAGCCTCTTGTCGCCACCGGCCGGCCAGGACTTGCAGAAGACGTACAGGGCAACCGTGACCTGCGACACCAGGGTCACGAGGTGCCGCTCGTTGTCCTCGATGCTGTACGCCGTAAACGTGTGCTGGCCACCAAGGTGGATGAGGAGGACCGGCGCCCAGAGAACCTCCAGGGCGCCGCTCCTCCCACCGGCGGCCGGCGGCTGCTTGTGGCGGTTGAAGAGGGTGGCGAGTGCATATATCGCCAGGGCATCAGCGCCAAGGTAGGCGGGCCATATGCACAGCCTCAACATGGGGGTGCGAGCGTTGCGCATCATTGAGCCGATGAAGAGGACGAACTGCAAGAAGAGGCTGCCGAGGACAAGGATGCGCAGCTGCCACTCTTCCCACCATTGCACAGCACCCGAGAGATCCACAGCCATCTCCTGTCTCTTTCACTCGATCGGGGGAGGGAAATGCTATTACCTATAGCAGCCTCTCGATTTGAGCAGGCAATGCAGCGGGGCTCTCAGACTCAAGAGTGCTGACAAACTAACGAAAGTTCAGGCTCTATCACGTAAGATGTTTGACACATGCATGGAGTATTAAATATAGACTAAAAATAGCTAATTGCATAGATTATGACTACTTTGCGAGACGAATTTTTTAAGCCTAATTAGTCCATGATTTGACAATGTGGTTCTATAATAAACATGTACTAATGATGAATTAATTAGGCTTAATAAACTTGTCTCGCAGATTACTAGGACTTGTGTAATTTGTTTTATTATTACTATCCGAACACTCTTATATGACATCCCTAAATTTCAACCCCTGGATTTAAACACCACTTAAATGTAGATCGCATCATATGCTAGCTAGACAGCTAGCATATACTCTCTCCGTCCCTAAATGTTCGTCGCCACGATTTACGTGTCGATAACTTTGACTTGATTTATACAAAATATGTACAATATTTTTATCTCTAAATAAATCTATTAAAAAACTAGATTCGAATATCTATCCAATGATACTAATTATGTATCATAAATATTAATATTTTTTAATATATATTTAGTTAAAATTATTTCTCGAGAAACGAAAACAACAGACATTTAGGGACGGAGGGAGTATATGGCTAGGAGGGAAAAGCTAACGTTCCTTGCTTATCCCTAGTGCTATTCCTTGCGCGTTGTCATATCCTATCTCTATCTAGCATATGAAACCCTATAATACCATATCAATTGCATGCTCCAACCCAAAAGCTTAATCTGTTGTGGAAATATGGACACTTTGCTTATAACTTCAACATGAGTATTTAATTTGCTTTTTTCTTAGATAAAGTAAGCTAGCATTTGTTAAAGGCAAGATAATTACATCGAATTCGACAAGTTTTGTAATACCCACACAAACTCCGCCTATGGTGGGACGCCTTTGGTCTCCCAGCATAGCAGGTCCTAGGCCCTGATAAAGGAGGAGGGTTGTGTTAGGCGCGGCGAGCCAATATAAAAACTTAGCCACTTTTATGGAGATGAAACCCAAAAGAATCCCGTTGGGGCGTAACCCTCTTAGCGACGCGCCATGTCAGAACCCGGGTATGGTGTTAAATGAGCAAGGGCCAGGTCGTCACACACGTGACGCGCCGTGTCGCGATCTAGATACAGTGTCAAGTGAGCAAGGATCGGGTCGTCGCATCCTTAGTGGCGCGCCACATCGGCGCCCGGGTGTGGTGCAAAATGAGTAAGGGTCTTCACACCTACCTCAGCGGGTGCGAAGGGTAAAGAAGCTAGTCAAGCCAACTAGGATCCGTTTAGATAGCTGGAATATAGGGTCCTTTACGGGTAAGTTAAGAGAGTTAGTGGACACAATGGTTAGAATGTGTGTAAATATCTTATGCGTCGAAGAGACTAAATGGAAGGGGCAGAAGGCGAAGGAGGTGGACAATACTGGCTTCAAGCTCTAGTACATAGGGATAACTTCAAATAAAAATGGAGTAGGAGTTTTGATTGATAAGAGCCTCAAGGATGGTGTGGTGGAGGTGAGAAGGCAAGGGGATAGGATCATCTTAGTTAAACTTGTCATTAGTGATATGGTCTTAAACATAATTAGTGAGTATGCCCCCCAAGTAGGCCATGATGAGAGTGCTAAGCGGCTTTTTTGGGAAGACTTAGATCGCTTGGTTAGAGTTGTCCCTAGTAGCAAGAAGCTCTTTATAGGAGGTGATCTTAATGTCCACATAGGTACATCAAATGCAGGTTTTGAGGTGGTTCATGGGGGGTTTCGGATATGATAATAGGAACCAGGAGGGAGAGGAAGTCTTAGACTTCGCCATAGCTTTTGATCTAATGATAGCTAACACTTTCTTTCATAAGAGACAGTCCCATTTAGTGACCTTTAGTAGCGGCCAGTACTCTAGTCAAATCGACTTTGTCCTTACAAGAAGGAGGGATAAACGAACATGCGTGGACTGTAAAGTGATACCTGGAGAATGTGTGATCGCTCAACACAAGCTGGTGGTGGCTGACTTCTGCTTTCTGGTGCAAGCTCGTGGGAACAAACAAGCTAGGGTTAGTAGAACGAAGTGGTGTAAATTAGAAGAGGATGCATCAAAGGTCTTTAAGGAAAAGGTCATTGAAGAGGGCCCTTGGAAGGATGAAGGCGATGCAAGCAGCATGTGGGAGAAGATGGCAACATGCATTCAGAAGGTTGCTTTAGAGGTGCTTAGTGTGACCAAATGGAGCGGATGCGACTCGAAAGACACTTGGTGGTGGAATTAATATGTGCAAAAGGCTATTAAAGAAAAGGAGTGCTATAAGCGCTTGTATCATGATAGGTGTGCAGACAACATAGAGAAGTACAAGATGGCAAAGAAGACTGCAAAACAAGCGGTGGGTGAGGCAAAGGGGCGGGCCTATGAGGACCTTTACCGACGTTGGAGTACGAAGAAAGGAAGGAGAGAAGGATATTTATAGGATGGCTAGGGCTCGCGATAGGAAGACAAGGGACTTCAACCAAGTCAAGTGCATAAAGGATGAGATGAAGCAACTCTTGGTGAAGGAGGATGAGATCAGACATAGATGGCAAGAGTATTTTTGATAAATTATTCAATGGTGAGAACGAGAACACCACCGTTCAACTGGACGACTCGTTTGATGACACTAACAGACGCTTTATGCGGATGATTCAAGAATCGGAGGTCAGAGAAGCCTCGAAAAGGATGAAAAGGGGCAAAACGATGGGCCCTGATGGTATCCCAATCAAGGTGTGGAGATGTCTCGGGGATATAGCTATAGTATGGCTAACCAAGAAGTTCAACAATATCTTTCGATCGAATAAGATGCATGAGGAGTGGAGAAGAAGCATATTGGTACCAATCCACAAGAACAAGGGAGATATGCAAAGTTGTACTAATTATCGAGGAATTAAGTTGATGAACCACACTATGAAGTTATGAGAGAGAGTCATCGAGCAATGCCTGCGAGTAACGACACAAATATCAACAAACCAATTTGGTTTCATGCCCGGAAGGTCAACCACAGAAGCAATCTTCTTAATAAGACAAGTTATGGAGCGATTTAGAGAGCAGAAGAAGGACCTCCACATGGTTTTCATTGACTTGGAGAAGGCTTATGACAAGATACCAAAAAATGTTATGTGGTGGGCTTTGGACAAACATAAAGTCCTATCAAAGTACGTGACCCTTATCAAGGACATGTACAACAATGTTGTGACTAGTGTTCGAACAAACGATGGTAACACAAATTACTTCCCGATTAAAATTAGACTTCATCAAGGGTCAGCCTTAAGCCCGTATCTCTTTGCCTTGGTAATGGATGAGGTTACCAGGAACATACAAGGGGATATCCCTTGGTGAATGTTGTTCGCTGATGATGTAGTGTTAGTGGACGAAAGCCAGGCGGGAGTAAATAAGAAACTAGAGTTATGACGATAGACCCTTGAGTCTAAAGGTTTAGATGAGCAGAGCTAAAACCGAATACATGAGATGCGACTTTGGCGGAGCTGCACAAGAGGAGGGAGATGTGAGTTTGGAAGGTCAAGTAGTGCCTAAGAAGGATATCTTTCGGTATCTGGGATCGATGCTACAGAGGGATGGAGATATTGATGCGGACGTTAGCCATAGAATCAAAGCAGGGTGAATCAAGTGGCGACAAGCTTCTAGCATTCTCTGTGACAAGAGGGTATCACAAAAGCTAAAAGACAAGTTTTATAGAACGACGATTAGACCGGCTATGTTGTATGGAGCAGAATGCTGGCCTACAAAGATTCGACATGTTCAACAACTGAGTGTTGCAGAAATACGTATGTTGCGATGTATTTATGGTCACACAAGAATGGACCGAGTTCGGAACGATGATATACGTGATCGCCTAGAGGTAGCACAAATTGAAGAAAATCTTGTCTAACATCAGTTGAGTTGGTTTGGCCATGTCCAAAGAAGACCTCCAGAGGCACCAGTGCATTGTGGAGTCCTAAGCCAAGCTAATAATATGAGGAGAGGTAGAGGAAGACCGAAATTGATATGAGGGAGACAATAAAAAGAGATATGAAAGTTTGGGATATAACTAGAGATCTATGTTTGAATAGGAGTGCTTGGAAAGCAGTTATTGAAGTGCCTGAACCGTGACTTGGGGCTCTTGGTGGGTTTCACCTCTAGCCTACCCTAACTTGCTTGGGCATGAAAGGCTATCAGTCTGTTCGCTTATCGTTTCTGTGGCTTATAAGCTGTCTGATGTGGTTTTGTTGTGAGAGAAAAATACTATATCATGGCTGATACGATCAAGCGAACATGGTGTATGTTGTTGTTGTTGTTGTTGTTGTTGTTGTTGTAATAACCACACAATCGACAAGTTTCGTAATAACCACACAGACACACTAATGATATTGAATTCGAAAACTATACCATTATTAGTCTCAGGAGGAGATAATAATATCATACATGAAAATGATGGATTTGTGTTGCTTACTCTCTCTCTCTCTCTCTGTTCATTTTTAACTATCGTTCTCACTTTCCGAGAAGTCAAACGTAATCAACTTTGACCAAATATATATAAATATTAATATTAATAGTATATAATTAATTTCATTAGATAGATCGTTGAATCTATTTTTATAATAAATTTATTTGGAGATATAAACATTGTTGACCGGCATGCAAACTATAACGAAAAATAAATAGCAGAGGGAGTATGTCCGTACGTAGATGTGGATGTGTAGATGCCAATGTCCCGATCTAGGCACCCCTGTCTGCCTTATATAGTTTGAAGAGTAGGGTACTAGGGTGGCTGATTTGTTCACAAACCTACTGAGATTTGTTTCATAGTCAGTTATCATATACATATCTAATTAAGTAGCAAATTTCTCTTAAAGCATGGCCAGATAACCTAGGTATGAGTAGTGATTTCTATCCTATCTCTATCTACTGACTCATATTTCCTTGGTGATAATTAGGTGCCCATATCCTTTCTTGTTCTGGTCAGTAATTAAGGTCTCTATTTAGTGTTCTAGTCAGTAATGGCATTAATTAAGATCGCATACGAAATTTGGTGAACAAAATTACCTTTAAAAATTAAGGTTTTTTACCGTTCCTGAAGAAGAGGGTCATCCTTACTAATGGTAACCTAGCCAAGGAATCGGGATGATAGTAAATTATGTTGCTTTTGTAATAAATTTGAAACCGTTCGTCACCTCTTCTTTGAATGTTATCATGCTAGATTTTTGTGGCGTGCTTTTACGTATTGTGTTTGATGTGAGTGTGAAAAATCTATTCGATGGATGGCATAAACAGGGAGGCAATAGGTACAATCAGCACTGTTGACCGGTGCTGCAACATATGGTTAAGGAATGATAGTGTTTTTTATAAATCTCAACCTAAAACCTATTTGCAAGTCCTGTTTAGGAACGCAGTGGCATTTTTGGCCCAACTACAACAAAGTGATGATGGAAAAGACTGCATCATACATGTTGCAGTCTACAGCGATATTCTTATTTGCCCCCAGGGAAGACCCTTTCACTTTTAGGCTTGGTTTTAATTAAGTGCGTCTGAGAATTTTGTGTGATTTTTTGTTGTGTGGTGAACCTTAAAATAAGCGTGGCCTGATGAAGCCATGTGTTAATTTTAATTATCTAAAAAAAGATATAGATGTAGATATAGATAGATGTAGATAGAGATAGAGATAGAATTAGAGATATAGCTATAGATTTTTAATCATACAACAACAAAGATTAACAAGCGAAAACTTGTGAAGGAAACATAACGGAAAGCTTTTTTCCCTCTAATAAATAACTGTTATACCAGTACTGTTCACCACACTTAGTAGCTTGATGGTGAGGACTGACGAGCCAACAGTGCCTAAGATTTTATCAGTCGTCTACGCCACCGTATGTCCTTTTGAAAAATATACTCCTATATTTAAGATAAAATAAACACGGAGCATTAGGTAGCACAGCACGTAAACGTAATTCGGCTCTCAAACTCGAAGAAATACTCCAGACAGGTAGGCAAATATATATGTATATGGTAGCGTATAGCGTCTATGAAATTGTTGTATTATTGGTTAGTGGCTCGCACAAAGTACACACCATGCAACATGAACGAGAGAGAGAGAGAGGAACACCGGTATACACGTACTGACACGGTTGTACTTGTACATGCAAGTGCAGTATACAGTAGTAGAGAAGGGACGACGATGGAGTGATCAGCTAGCTGTGCGGTATCGGCGCGGTTCCTCCGCGGCGGCGCGTGTCCGGCGGCGGATCCACGAAGCCGTAGTCTTGTCCCGCCGCCGCCGCAGCAGCGCCGAGCAGGTCCCGCTCGGCCGCCGCGTCGCCGGCGGCGGCGGCAAAGCCCTTCTCCTGCAGGGCGGGCGTGGTCACCTGGGAGTCCACGCCAAGCACCGGCGAGGACGGCGGCCGCGGCTGTCGTCGTCCATGACCATGCGCCGCGAGTCCGCCGCCACAGCTGGCCGTGCACACGCCGACTGCCAGAACCAGCGCCAGGCAGGCGCCCGACGTTGCTGACGCCGCGAGCAGCAGCCGCGACGACGACCGCATGGACGACGATGATGGTTTGCTATGTAACTACTAACTACACGGGCGGCTCGATCGTCATATAGAGACAGCTCGTGCGGCATGCATCCGGCGGCCGGCAGGAGCTCCTCCCACAGGAGCCAGCGATTGATGCTGGCAGCAGGCGCGCTGGCTGTAGTTATATATATAATATATATGCTATCTATCTATCTATCTATCTATCCACACGCATGTATCTTGTCAGTGATACGCCCCGAGATGGAGAGAGGCTGAGAGAGATGAGGCGGGCGGCGACTGGGTCGGTTGGCGTCACGGAAATGGCGTGGCGCATCTAATTAAACCGCGCTGCCGAGATAGGAGGAAGGCCGACCGGCGTGCGGCGAGGTGCCGTTACCTGGCCCCAGCAAAATGCGGCCAGTGATCCAGCCATTTGGTTTGCTTTGCAGCCGCCTGCTTTGCCCTTGCCTGCAACTGCAAAGCAAACAAACCCAGGCGCGCGCCGGACGGACGGACGATGCGTGACGCGCTCTTCGATCGCGCTCGGCTAGCTCTATGGTTATCATAGTCCCCAAGGCCCAGACGTCACCGTACGTGTCCACTCCCAGCTGACTTGGCCAGCCAACCAGGGATGCGTACGACCCACGTATGGTTAGCTGCCATTTTTTTTCTTCCATGGTTGATTATTAATATTAATTAATATAATACCACTAGTGGCAGTCCCGGTCTTGCGAGACAAGTCAATAATGATCGGTGCAGAGTACCGCTGACGATCTTTCGCTTCATTGATTACTGGCCTCCGTGCAAAAGAAAAACCACAAAACGCACAAGCAGGCGAGGACCTGTACGGGCAGCTTCATAGTTTTTTTTTTGAGTGGAGCCGGCAAAGCGGGAGGCCCTTGCATTCTTTTTGTCTTGGCTCTAAATTATAATACGTTTTCGCTTTGTTAGATAAATGCTTTTGTTATGTATCTAGACATAACATATATCTAAGTGCATATCTATGTTCCTACAAAACCAAAACGTCTTATAATTTGGAATGAAGAAAAGTAAAATTAAGGATTGTATGGGCAGCTTAATATTCGTCCCTGTTCAAGAAACAAGAATATACTCTTGCGCAAAAAAAGAATTAAGAAACTACTTCTCCTTTTCTTTTTCATAGATATGATATACTCCCTTCGTTCCATAATAAATGACTTTTTAGCTCTGGGCATTAAAATAAAGAGTGAAAAATATAGGAAACGACAAGAAGAGAGATAGAGATAGAGGTATATTGGAAAAAAGAAATATACATTGATAAGTGAGAATGTCAACTAATTTGGGACAAGTGTAAAAAGCTAGAAAGTCAAGTATTATAGGTTGCTGCTCTCCCTGTGAACCTTTGTAAATGTGTGCTACCTTTGTAAAACGTTTTCTATAGATTAATTATTTGTATCTAATATATATATTGGTCTTGCACTAATATATAATATATTGTAGGATAAATTAATTGCAAAGCATTCATTTTTGAATACTCTTGATAATCAAATTTGACACTTCTTGTATGTAAGAGTTAATTATCTTTGTTAGAAGCTGAATGGCCAAATATTTATTCGGCCGTTGGAATTAAGCTTGAGATTGCTCATTGGCCAGCTTGCCAATTCTATGATTTGGAGTGACCGAAGTTGGCCTTGGTTGGTTAGGTTGGGTTCGTTAACTAGCATATGCATGGTGACAACGTGAAGCTCTGGACACAACACAAATGAATCTGATCGGCCCAACCCCCATCATGTAATCTGCTGTTGCTGTCCCATATTGACGGCCTTAAACTGTGTATTGGGTGACTCATTCACCCTAATAGCAGCATCCTGCTGCTGATTAATAAATTTGCCATTTATCAAAAAAAAAAAAAAGAATCTGATCGGCGATGAGCCTGAGACCTGCTGACCGGCCGGATATATATTTAATGGTGTCGATCACTACAATTCAGATTTCAGGTTATGATGATGATCTGGTCAGGAATTCATAGACGATGTTGGACACACATGCATGTTAAAGTTTCCATCTTGGAGTCCGTTTGAACCAGCTCAACGGTGATTTGTAATGCATCAAACAGCTGTTATGAATTACGTGGGAGATCACGATACTCGCAGGAAGCTGGCACAGCCACCCTTATATAAAAGAAAAGGGAAGGCCAATTAAATCGACAAAATACATCTACGTTATTTTCTTTCTTCTACTTTTTCACATCTAGATCAGTAGCTATGTTTTGCTAGTTTTCTACAAACAAGCCATTTATTGTTCTTGCCTGTAAAGCAGACGGTTCTTCGTCGTAATCGAAAACTATCGCTTTACTGGTTTGCTTAAAACTACACTACTACACAAACGAATATGCGCAGCGTTGCACTTTTGCACTCCGTGGCGGGCACCTATTTTTGCCCGCTGCGGTAAATCCCACGATTTACCGCGGCGGTCATTTTTTATTTACCGTAGCGGGCACTTTTGCCCGTCACGGTAAATCGATTTACCGTGGCAGACATATTAAGATGCCCGCCACGGTAAATACCCTATTTACCGTGGCGGACATCGTAAGGCGTCCGCTACGGTAAATCAATTTACCGTGGCGGACAACGTTAAAAGCCCGTCACGGAAAAGGCCTAGGCCCATTAGGCCCAAGCTGGCCCGATATTCGTCTACACGTATATATAGGTATACTTAAGGTTTCGGGGGGCGCTGTCAGCCTCCCCACTCTGTTCCTGTGGCGCAGTCGGCCTCTCTTCCTCCCCACTCTCTTCCTCCTCCCTCTCTTCCTCCCCACTCTCTTCCTCCTCCCTCTCTTCCTCCCCACTCTCTTCCTCCCCACGCGCTCCAGGTCAGGCCGCCCCGACAGCGGCGGTGGAGGCCCCGACGGCGCCCCTTCCTCTCCCTCCTCCGGCCGGCGTGGAGGCCCCGACGCCGGCATGGAGGCCCCGGCGGCGGCGGTGGATCCGGCGCAAGGTGTGGAGCCCTCTTTCTTCTCTCTCAGATCAATGGTGGATCTTGTCCCTCTCACACTTGCACCCTTGCAGATCCCCGACGACGGTGGCGAAACGGCGGCGACGGTGCTCTCACGCGACGGTGGCGGCAGCGGCGGCGTGCCCGTCCGGCGCGGATCCACGACGGGGCGGCGCCAACCCGCCGCGACGGCACGGATCCACGGAGGGGCAGCCCCAACCCACCGCGACGGCACGGATCCACGGAGGGGCGGCCCCAACCCGCCGCGACGTCGTGGATCCACGGCGGGGCGTCGTCTCCCTCCCACCCAATCGACGGCGGCGCAGATCCGGTGGGCGTGGCGCCCACCCCGGCCCTTCCTCTCCCTCCGGCGGTGCGGCGGGTTGGAGCTGCGGCGGATCCAATCAACGGCGGTGGATCGACGGCGACGGCGGGATCTAGGTTCAGTGCGGCCCGGATCCAAGCCCGTGTGGGCTTTTTTTCTTTTTTTTTTTTTTTTTCCTGAACGATTTGCCGCTGTGGGCGTTCTTATGTGGCCACCGCTGTAAATCGATTAACCGCGGCGGGCAAAGCTGTCCGCCGCGGGAAGCCACAATTTACCGTGGCCTTTCGGCGGCGGCGGACCGGTTTGCCCGCCGCGGGAAACCCAAAACGTCCGACACGGATAAATATTCTGTTGTAGTGCTAGTCGGGATGCTTCTATGAAAGTGAAGCACTTTGTCATTAATGACTTTGTGTGTTGATTTTGCGTAAACAAATACGTCCAAAATTTTAAGAAAACGATAGAATATTTATTCCACAATTGCAGATTTGTGAAAACTCCATAAAGGTCCTGAGATTGAGTAAGCCTTTTTCTTGTGTGAGAACGAAGGTTTGTTGATGTTGTACCAACTCAGAACTCACCAAAAGATCCTCTTTTTTAAAAAAGAAACTCACCAAAAAATCCAACTAAAAGTGACACTTTCTAGAATGGGGCAAAAATATAGACATCCTGAGGTACTATGATGTATTGTAAAATGACCAATGTAAAAGGAGTGGGCCGTCCCCAGTAGGCCAGTCGTTGCCGTCGCCGGCCAGCCCTCGATACGTTCCCGGGGAGTCGGAGCCTGGAGGCGCCACGCTCGTCATGCCGCCGGCTCCGACGAGGTACACCTCACCTACCAATCCCGCCTCTCCCCCATCTCTCTAGCCTCTCCCCGCTCCATTCATGCCTCGTGGTCCCTGCCTGCTCCTGGCATGCTTCCTAGACTAGTATAATGCCCGTGCTAACGCAACGACAACATATAACCATGCAAATTAAATAATCAAAAGGCATATATGTGAAGTCATTAAGCATCACTGAGATATATTTATGATTCATGAGTTATATTTATGATTCACGCAAAAAAGGAATATTAAAAAGGAAGTCCATCTTACCCTATCAAAATATGAATAATAACATTTTTCAACATTAGTGGTCACATCTATAACCAAGCATGTCTTCAGGCTCCCCAGCCGTCCGTCCTCAGAGGTGCCTCATCTGTTTAGCCACAACACACTTTAAGAAAAGGTGGTGAATAGTTTATTCTACGAAAGGAGATAGACAAACTGATGAATCGCCGCTAAATTAAATGACCAAACTTTCATTCACCAAACCTTAAGTATTTCAGATAACATTGCACATAGTCTAAAGCCACATGCTGTTACCTGCGCACCAAAGTGCAAATATCAAACAACAGGAAAATACAGAGGATCGGTATTGAAATATCGAGTTATGGGGAAAAGGACTGAACATTATTATTTTTTAACCCACTAACATTCAGCCCATCTATTAAGCATGTTCTTTTTGTTAGTGAAGGAGGTCAGAGGCCCCGTGTTTCGCTGTGCGCATGTGGCAAAAACAAAAAAGAAAGAAGAGCAAGAGTAGGATTGTAGGAGTAGTAGATCGCTGTCGCTCTCGTCCCATCCAGCCCATCCAGAAGCTGAGAAGCACGCAGCAGGTGCTCATCGTCCGTCCTGAACTCTGATCCATCCCATTTCAGAATTCAGAGACAGAGCTCGTGACTTCACTTCACTGCACCTGGATGTTGACGACCTCACCCCCTGCTGTCAGCTTGGGTATGGTGAGGTAGAGCACGCCATCCCTCACCTCTGCGCCGATCTTATCCATGTCCATGTTCTCGGGCAGCTCCACCCACGTCCCGTACTGGCCGAAGCTTGCCGCCAGCCACGCCTCCTCCCCGTCTCCCTCTTCGTATCCGCCGCCTGTTGCTGCTTCCTGCTTCTCGTCACCGCCAGCACAGTCCGAAGCTTTGTTTTGATAGAAATGCTCCCACCAACTATTACACCAATATTAACAGTGATGTAAAACCATCTCAGTTTTCAAGCATTGTTTCTGGGAGTCCCTACAATCTGGTACACAAAGAGCATTCAAAAGGGGAGAAAAAACAGGAGTCAAAAACTAAAAAGAATAGGTTTCAGATTTGCTGACCAGTGAGTAAGGTAGTGTTGAACCCCATTTAGATGGCTTCAGCTTCAACTTTGGAGGCAGGATAAGAAAATAGCTTGGTAGCATTCGTATAACTCAGCTCGCCAATTCTGACTCTACTAGTTCAATGAGTGATGCGACATACTTAAAAACCTAGAAAATAAGGGACCTCCACAGTTTGAAGTATTTTTCTCATCCCATTATTGCTTAATATTAAGTAAGCATGCCTCTTTTGTTAAGATGGAAAGCTCAATGCTCTTGCACCGGATTGCTTCAGCAATTTAAACAAAAGGACATAAGTATTATTAATGTACAATTTTGCTCTTCAAATTGCAAACGGGAAGGAGAGCAAGCATATTTTGTTGTATACTTTTTCTTTCAGTTCTTGCTTTTGCCTCCAATACTTTATTGTTGAAAAGGCACATGAACATATAAAACGAAAGAGTCAGGAAAAAAGCTTCTCCAAAGAAATTCTAGCCAAGTGCATCCACGAAAAAAACTTACAACATAGATGTGCTACATTTAATATCGTTCATCTACTACGTCTCGGCTATGCTAACAAATGAAATATGAAATAGGTAGTGTCAACTTAGCTTTATATTGTCAACTCTAATGTAGAACTCCTGCAGCCAAGCCAAGCAACAGGATGTCAACTTAGCTTCAGTTAATCAAACCGTTGTATCATGCGTGCATAGGTAGTGTCTGTCCACCACCGCAGCAGCAATTCAATCAGCTTTGCAGGATATAGTGCTTAGTAGTATTAATTATTCTGGGGTACAATTTTGAAGCGGAATAATCCTATAAGTTGTTGTAAGGAAATCCAACAGTAATCAGTACAGTCCCCGCATGTTTCAGCTTCCCAATGCCGACGTAGAAATAATTGCAACGTATATTATATAAGAACACTTCAGATTAGAGATAGTTATGAACCTTTTTCCCTTTTGACTTTTTCCTATTTTATGAAAGTCCTTGTAGCACTGTGCAGTTGAACTTCATCAACCTATTGAGAAAATATCGAATGTTCACCAGAGATTAGGCATATATCATTTTCTATTACTATGGGTAAAAATACTTAGACTCTTATCAAGAAAAAACATAGCTATGGCAGTTATTTTCAGCAAAATCAGAAACTATATTAACTGATACCTGCCTGCACACTGTGCACGATCGTCGTCCTTAGCCGCCCGTGCTTGGCAGATGGTGCACAGGCGTGCTACGCCGCTGCCGGCGAGCCCTGGTCGGAGATCCGTTGCAGCCTGCGCTCGTCGCTCGTCGCTCGGCCGCCAGCGCCAGGCACAACCACCGACAGCCCTCCCTCCACACGGTTGTCCGGTAGCCGCCCAGCCCAAGATCCTGCACACTTGGCACTCCGGAGTCCGGTTAACGCCTTCCCGGCACACCATCACCTCGCCTAAGTCGGTCACCGCTCGTTCGCTAGGGTTTGGCAATTTGGGATTGGGAGAAACAAGTCAGGAGAAGAGGAAAAATGGCCAGGGGTGATTTCCGGCTACCGGGACGCTTTGTCCTGCTCCGCCTCGCCGTGCCCATGGAGGGAGGCAGGAGTGCAACTGCGGCGGGGAGCGGACACGGGGAAGAAGGGGCGCGGATGCGGTGGGTGGTCAGGCGTGAGGCGCAGCTGAGCAGGGCGATCGAGGCGTTGGGGAAGGATTTTTTTTTTGCGTTTTTAGATTTGGGGATTGGGATTCGATCGTTGGTCGGCCATCCAGGGCGAGGCGCATCGCCGCGGTGTTGATGGGGCGCGTTGAAGCCTGGAAATTGATATAAATCATCCTGCCCACAGGATTGGGTTTGAAGGCTTCCTTGACTTTAATAGAGACGATTTGCTAGGTGCAATTGGTTTAGCGTATAATGGTTCGACTCCCTCAGCGGGATACGCAATCTTGGATGTACTAAGTATAATTTGGATTGGTATAGAGATTGGCGGGTCCGCTGATCCCATCCGCCCCACGTCCGCTACGCGGACTGCAGTTCTCGATTTTGTTTCTCTTTCTGCCTGGTATGGGATTGCTGTGGTTGTTGGATTATTTTGCGAGTATATGGTCAGCTTAGGCGAAATTGGTTCTAGATTTGGTAATGGGAGCCCGCGGTGCAATTTATTCCCCGATTCGGTGATGCAGGTTTCTCTTTTGTCATTTCCCCCCTCCCTTGTGACTTGTGAGGGGACGCATGTTGTTCAGTTGACTAGTACTTTGTTCTAAGGTGCTGCCATGCTTTATTTGGATGTTCCGAATGTTTAGGAGATGCAAAATTTAATTTGGTCCACTTGGTTACCCTGTTTTTGTGAATCACTCTTGACAAAAATCTGAACTTTGAGTGGCAATCTTCTTTTCCGTTGGACTGTGCAAAGAATGCTGGCGACTTTGCACACCTGAATGGAATATCTTAGTTACTCTATCCGTTCCAAATTCTAATTCGTTCTGAATTTTTCTAGACACGTAGTAAAAGCTATGTATAACGAATATCTATTGCTATTGTATCTAAAAAGCCAGGACGACTTATAATTTGTAAATGTGGAGTAAGCACTAAGCAGTAAGCTAAGTATTTGTTTCCCTCGTGTGCCAAATTTAGTTATTTTCCCCAAACCGAGTAGTTATATATGAATGAATACAGAGGGTTAATTGATGGTGTTGTACAGGTCTTTTTTTTACTGTTGATATGTATAGTATCCAGATTGCTAGGTACCATTGAACAGGAAAACTGTGGTCTTAGACTCTTAGTTATTTTAGCAAAGCTTAGTCCTTATCCCCCATGGCCCCATCCACACATCTGACTTGATATAGTGCCCTGGGGCATGACAGTGATAATAGGATCAATTAATCTGTTTTCTTCATTTCTGCTTGCTTATTTCAGATGGAGGATGGCGTATCTACTTATACTGTGGATGAGGCACTTGTGTCCATGGGGTTTGGGAAATTCCATGCATTCGTGCTTGCATACTCTGGAATGGCTAAAATCTCTGAAGCAATGTAGATGATGCTTTTGTCATTTGTTGGGCAATCAGTTCAAGCTGAGTGGGGGCTTTCTGCACAGGAAGAAAGTCTCATAACAAGTATTGTCTACTTGTCTTCGTGGGGATGCTTGTAGGAGCATATGCTTGGGGCATAGTTTCGGATAACTATGGAAGAAGGCAGGGTCTTCCTCACTTGTTCCATTGGCTATTGGAATTTGATTATGAATGTTCTAACCTTAACAAAATGCAATTTTTTTTGAAACATTATGGAGTGTTGCACACTGTTCCATGTCTGTAGGAACCTTAAACTAGGCACTTTACTGTTTCATGGTTAGGTTTTTGGATTCAACCCTAATGCTTGAATGTCCTGTTTGTTTTCCATCTCTGCATGTTATGTAGTGATAGTTTCCCATTTTCCAACATGTAACTATTTTTTTGCTCATTCTAGACCCTTCATACTTCTCTACAGGGTTGGGTTCAACTTCACAGCGATTGTTACTGGAGGAGCTGGTCTTCTTAGCGCTTTCGCTCCAAATTAATTATCTTTGATTGTACTGAGATTTATGGTCGGTGTTGGACTGGGTGGTGGGCCGGTTCTAGGTTCTTGGTTCCTAGAGTTCATCCCTGCTCCTAACCGAGGAACTTGGATGGTTATGTTCTCAGCATTTTGGACTGTTGGCACAATAATGGAAGCTTCTTTTGCTTGGGTAAGTCCATTTCTTCAGGAAAAGTAATGTCAATGTTTACCTTACATACAGTACTAGCTGTTTGAGAGATATTTTTAGTTGTCAATGTAAACGAAAATTAGATTGTTCTCAAATGCTGGGGTTATGTGTACTACAGTACATCCTACAATGGATGTTACATTCTAGTTACTAATAGTGGATGTTAAAGTGGATCTTTGACTGCTCAGTGCAGATGTTCTCCTTTTTCTCTAGCACGCAGGAGAACTGCATGTCCTTAGGAATAGAACTGGTCCAAATACGAGATTATAGTGTAGGTCTGGAGGGGACCACTGATTCAAATAAACAGATGCACTGCAAACAATGAGTGGGCAGGCTTGCCGAGCTACCAGCTAAGGCTTGCAGGTGTGCTAGTCCATGTGTGTGAGCTGCACATCACAGCTCTGCATGCAGATGTTCTTCTGTTGTCCTTATTACGGTACTTGTAAGTCTAAGATTAGGATATACCATTGAATCCTAAGGAACAGCGAAGCTTCTTCTGGGTTTTTATAATTTGAGCAAGTTTAGCCAGCACATGCATGGGTCTTCCTGTGCAGTCAATTGGTTCTATTTGCTGTGGTATTTTGCTCGTACATAGTTTTGATAAAGTGATTATTGACGACCATGGTAGTATATATATTGCATATAATATATAATGGATTAATGACACCATGTTGGTGTAAGTGGTCAAATGGCATGCATGGTCATTCTAATCCGTGACTATTGCTATTTCCAAAATCTCCATGCAATTTTCTTTACTTATCTACTCATTTTGCAGGCCGTTATGCCAGCTTTTGGCTGGAGGTGGCTGCTGGCACTGTCATCACTGCCATCGTTTGCTCTGCTACTCTTCTACCCAGTGACACTAGAGTCACCAAGATACCTATGCATGAAGGGTAAAATAGCTGAAGCTGTTCATGTTTTGGAAACAAGGGCACGAGTAAATTGTGTCTCTCTCCCCTCTGGTCGACTTGTCTCTGGCCATCGGACAGAACTTCATGATATCGGGGATGCCTCAGAAACGGCACAATTGGTGACATCTAAGAAAAATAATACTGCTGATCATGGTAGCAAATCTGAGATTGGAGGCTTCACTGCCATCTTAAAGCTTCTATCTCCGAACTTAATCAGATCGACTCTTCTACTTTGGACTGTCTTTCTTGGTCATGCCTTTTTGTACTATGGTCTTGTTCTGCTAACATCAGAATTGAATCATGGAAATAGGATCTGTGGATCAGAAGAGGGAGCAGAAGTGACAACAACAGCCCACATAAATGATGAAAATCTCTACAGAAATGTATTCATAACCAGCTTTGGAGGCACGTGTGTTCTTGCCATCTGGTCAACCAAACGTTTTCACAAACCATGTCTTGGGAATTCTTGATATTCAGGGCAACAATGATGCAGAGGTTCCTGGCCTTCTCCTGTCCGCTGCCATTGTCGACAAGATCGGGCGCAAGCTCTCAATGTCTTCCATGCTTTACATCAGTTGCCTGTGCATATCTCCGCTTATGTTCGCCCAGACAGAATCTCTGACAACCGTGTTTTTATTCGGTGCTCGGGTTTGCATCTCGGCAAGCTTCACTGTTCTGCACATCTACGCCCGTGAGGTTTGGTCCCTGCAATAGCCTGTGCTTCTCTACATACATAAACCTTGTATGAAACCTCTGAACATCGTTGCCTCTTTATGCCATGTTCCTTGCAGATATACCCAACTGCTGTTAGGGCCACGGGTGTCGGGTTTGCAAGCTCAATTGCTCGGTTTGGTGGGATCCTATGCCCCCTTGTGGCCGTCGGTCTGGTGCACGCGTGCCACCAGATGGCAGTTATCTTGATATTCATCACGGTGATGCTGGCTTCAGGCATCGCCGTGTCATACTTCCCCCTGGAAACAAGCGGCCGAAAGCTGAGTGACCACGTCGCCGCCGCATGAGAAGCTAATTAAAGATTTTTTTTTTCTGACTTCGGAGGGATACGATACACCATACAGAATCAAGGCCAAGGGGCCATTCGTTGTTTTGTTCAGTTGTTGGTAGATGATACAGTGGGAAAGAAAGTGCAAAGGAGGCACGAGATTGTTACATTACTATACTATTGCTTTTCTATAGAGATGTACAATTGCTACATGTTTTCAGTTCTCTCAAAATGGCATTATTATATTAGTCAAAAAAGGTGGAAAATATATAAAAAAAGCATTTCCTACATGTTTTTTTGTTCTTTCAAAATGACATTTGTTTTCAGTTCTCTCAAAAGGGCATTATTATATTAGTCAAAAAAGGTGGAAAAATAAAAAAAGCATTTCCTACATGTCTTTTTGATCTTTCAAAATGGCATTATTATTAGTCAAAAAACGGTGGAAAAATCAAAAAAGATTTCCGTTGCCGGGACTCGAACCCGGGTCTCTCGGGTGAGAGCCGAGTATCCTAACCAGCTAGACTACAACGGATCTTATTAATCAATGACATCATCGCATATAAGTAAGCATTGACATTAGAGCTATTCAAAGCAATGGTTTGGCGACACTCTCGCTGCTCCAATGGCGATGGTCTCGTTCCATCTCTGTTCTCCGTCTCTTCCTCCGTCTCCTAATTTTGGGAAGGCCACACTTTCCCACCGCGAGACCTGTAACCCCATGAATCCATGAGAGAAAGGCGGAGGAGATCAGGCGACGTACGCGCGTGGGGGTCTCCTCCTGCACGCTCTCAGCTGAACCGCGCCGTGCTCCCCCTGGCGCGCAATGGCTCGACGACGGCGCCCCCTGCTGCCGCCGCAGCTCGTCTGGTTGACCGTCCTCTTCTCTGTGGTGGCGCCCGCGGTCGCCGAGACCGACAAGTCTGACGGTGAGGGTTTGCCGGCCGGATTCTCTGTGCCCTCTCTGTGTATGCATTGGTCGTGGTTCTGACTGAACATCGTGTGTCCTGCAATGTCAGTTGCTGCGCTCAATGTGATGTTCGATAGCATGAACAAGCCATCGCAATTGTCCGGTTGGAAATCGAGCGGCGGTGATCCCTGCGACGACGATGACGAGTGGAAGGGGATAGAATGCAGCGGCTCATCTGTCTCAGAAATGTACGCAAATGAAATGCCCTTAGGATTTCACTGCTTCTTCAGCATTTAACAGCGCTATGAAAGTACCCTTTTTTCCTTTTAGTTTTCCATGACATTTTTACCCCAGTTTGTCTCTAAATAATCATGTTGCATAGAGCAGTAACTTGTCAGGGCTTGGACTAAGCGGCTCGCTAGGATATCAGCTATCAGGCCTGAAATCAGTAACCAAATTGTGAGTTGCCCCAGTGATTTCCTGCAACGCACTGACCATCGTGGTAATGCAACTTAGTTGATTTTTCCTTGTTTTACGTAGTACAGTGATGTCAGCAATAACAATCTCAACGGCGATCTCCCATACCAGCTTCCACCAAACGTGGTTCAATTGTAAGTTTCTGGTTCTCATCCATATTCAACTTTTTTGCGTGGGTTCATGGCTAACCCGATGCATTCTCTTATGTTTTTTTCTTATTGATGCAGAAATCTTTACGGAAACTCTTTTACCGGAGGAGTTCCATATTCGATATCTCAGATGGGTGATCTGGAAACACTGTAGGAATTCCAATTCACATTGCACTCTATTTAATTGTTTGCTTTCTGTTCCCTTCACACGTCCGTGATTTTTTGTTTGCATCAATCACCATATAATTCCTCATTTGATTAAACTGCAGAAATGTGGGCAAGAACCACCTAAGTGGGCAGTTGACGGATATGTTTTCACAACTTTCAAAGCTCTCAACATTGTAAGTCAAGCAGCGAATTCCCAATTTTTTGGTATCTATAACAGGAATTTGTTTTTTACGTAGTTGCTAGAATGTTATTGCAGTAAGCCTGTCCTGTACGACTAATCTCAATTGTTTCATCAGGGATCTGTCCTTCAACCGCTTCTCAGGCAGCCTGCCCCAGAGTTTTCAGCACCTAAAAGACCTCAAGACGTTGTAAGGGCACTCCCAACCATGAAACTAGTTGGTTTCTATGTTCATTAATTAGGGTGTCAACTAAGCAAAAAGATGATACGGCACTTCCATTATAGAAGAGAGATGAGGAAATGACTTCTTAGATAAGAAACCATGTCTACACGAGAACCAAGACATTAAGAGATGTGATTAGTAGATGATAGAGAGAGAAGACATGTGATTGGACAAAAAATTATTATGTAGAAACTATCTGTTGGGAACATAGTCCTATATATAGTGTCTACATAAATTAATAGGCATAGAAACTACCTTTGGTTTCTAGCATTGGGACTGCCCTAAAGGAACTGAAATTTACACATGGTAGTAATTCATCCACACTCTCTTTGGTATCTACCATCACTCCATCAGTGCCATTCTTTTCAAAATGTATGCAGGAATTTGGAGAGCAACCAATTCAGTGGTCATGTAGATGTTCTAGCCAAACTTCCTCTCGAGGATCTGTAAGTATATCTCAAAGTAAACACTCACTACATAAAAACTACTCTTTTTCGCAAGTACATTAAAAAGCAATATTGTCCTGATGACTCCACGTATGCATTGCGGTGCCTCCGCACAGCAGTACAGCATTAATAATTCTGTGAAAAAATGCCAGCGCTGAAAACTGTGTTGCCAGTTTTAGGCATGCAATGGGTATTCTATAGCCTATTTAGTATTTACTGGGCATACTTAGTGGAAACTACACTTATCTTTCTGAGAACTAAGCTATAACGGCTTCCCCTTTGTGCTCAAGGAATCTGCAGAACAACAAGTTTACTGGGTGGATCCCAAGTAAACTAAAAGACATTAGTAATCTACAGTAAGTAGCAATTCCATCCGCTATAATCCTTTTTGTTGCTGTTGATGAATTCTAAAAGTCCTTGACACATTCTGAAGGATTGGAGGGAACCAGTGGTCATCCGGGTCAGCTCCTCCTGGTATGGAGAAGGGCTCTACGCTGGGAGGCTCTTCAGGTGGAGGGGGTGGAGGTGGAATAAATGGTATCGCCATTGGAGCGATTGTGATAGCAGTGCTTCTTGCAGCTCTGATTCTCTTGTCTGTGTTGAAGAGGAACCATACCTCTCCTGCCTCATCTCATTACATCATGGACGAATCAGGTCACAACCGGTCATTTACCCCGCTAGTTGATGATGGGAAAGGTAAAGAGTTCATTTTGCTTTCTTTTAACATTTATGGTAAAGAGCTCATGTTGCTTTCTTTGCTTCAGCGATCAACATGAAGCCACTGGAGCATTCCTCGTCAATAAGCAGTAGGACACCGTCTGCAATGCCTAGCAAGTCGATTAGTGACAATGAGTTCGAGAACAAACTAAACTATTCGAGGCGGACCACAGATCCAATCAACCTTGTTATTTATTCATCATCAGACCTCCAAGCAGCCACTGGCAGCTTCCATAGTAGCAGGTTACTAGGTCAGGGGACAATTGGTGGCGTTTACAAGGCAAAATATGCTGATGGAAGGGTAAGACCTTACCGTTGCCTTCTTAAATGGTTAAACCCATGCTAAAGGAACTTGTTTGCTGATAAAACTTCAGTATTCTTCCCTCTGCATCTATAAAATTTAAACTTTCACATGCAATATCTTGTCCAAAAGTGTTCTAAGCTATTCATCAATTATTTTTCAATAGTATAGTACCATATAGTTGAATTGAACTTGATTATAACTATTATCGATACGCGTCAAATATGTTCTGTAGCAAGATCTTGAGTTGGCACTTCATACTGATAGTACACCTTGCATTCCCGTTGTCCTTATTGTCTTTCTCTCTCACACACACACAAAAAAAAAAAAAAAACTCAGGTGCTGGCCGTTAAGAAGTTTGATCCATTGAGCTTCTCAGGAAGCAGCGACTTCATGGATCTTGTGAACAGCATTTCCAAGCTGCGCCATCCAAACATCTCTGAGCTTGTTGGTTACTGCTCAGAGCCTGGGCACTACATGCTGGTCTATGACTACAACATGAATGGATCCCTCTATGACTTCCTGCACTTGTCCGACGACTACAGCAAGCCGCTGACCTGGGACACCCGCGTAAGGATTGCTGTTGGTACAGCTTGTGCTCTGGAGTAAGTTGACAACTAGTAATATTTATTTAGGCCTAGATAAAAAAATAATACATCTTCAGGCACAGAGGGGGTATGATGTTCGTAGTTCAAAAGAAAGGGGTATTGACATTTCTTGTTGATTCAGGTACCTACATGACGTGTGCTCACCTCCAATGATCCACAAGAACATTAAGGCATCGAACGTCTTGCTTGATGCTGACCTCAACCCTCACCTCACTGACTGCGGCCTTGCATACTTCTATGAGGTTTGCAGAATGTCTCTTAAAGAATTTGTTGAGCAAAGCATGAATGTAAAAAATTGTGATAACCAACTCTCTGCAGGATACGAGTGAGAGCCTGGGACCAGGGTACGATCCTCCAGAGTGCACAAGGTCATCAGGTTACGTTATGAAGAGCGATGTCTACTGCTTTGGTGTCATCATGCTTCAGCTATTGACTGGTCGGAAGCCCTACGACAGGTAATTAATTGAAGAAAAAATAAGATATCATCCTTCCACTCTGGACTACACATTTTGTGATTCCAGAACAGGCAAAGCTTGCCTGTGGAAGTGGAACATTGTGTTTGTCAGCCATGCTCAGGAACATGGCTGCAGCTAATATACTGATGTTCTTTGTGACTCCAGCTCGAAGCCTAGAGCGGAGCAGTCCTTGGTCAAGTTTGTCACTCCACAGCTTCATGACATCAACGCCTTGGAAGCTCTGGCAGATCCAGCTCTGCGTGGCCTATATCCACCGAAAGCATTGTCCCGTTTCGCCGATGTCCTTGCCCGCTGTGTCCAGGTGAATTGATCGAAATACTCAGAGATGATCTTCATCCAGTGATGAATTGTTTCAGCTACAACGCTGAA